GTATTTTTACCCGTAATACATTATAGTTCTATTGTTCTTACTGGCCAACGTGGTGTGGGGCAAAAACCGGCATTCCAATTGAGCAGGGAACGGTCCACTCCAAAAGCTGCTGAGCTATATGGACTAATGACGACCATACCTTTAGGAGATGAATCGTATCGGTGTCCGATGATACTCAATTGCTTACCACAATACTGCGACCTCCGTTCATCAGACATAGCTGAACGTCTCCGCTACCAATAATCGGAGCTCAATATTCGCCATGGTTAGTTTATCATACTACCAGATAGTCGTTTCATGGTGGAAGTTATACCTTGGGAGACTACATCTGTTCTGTGCATGGTAACAGTGTACATGAAAGGGGAAGTTATGTCATGCTACTTCGCAGCTAATTGTCACCCTTGCACTTGTGGGTGTCCGAATCGCTCTCTCACGAAGGATGAACAATGAACAATGATTTATAACGGGTGAAAAAGCAGGCGTTTGACATGTCCCGTATAGTAGTTAGAGTGAGAAAAGATAGATCAAGGGATAATGGAATTCTTGGTTCGGGCGATTACAGATTGAACTGTACTACCGATTGAAGGGAGTTCGAAATTAGAATGTGCGCACGCAAAGCAATAAGGGGAGTGGTTATTGATCACAAGAAAATAGCCTGGACAACTGCTTACTCGTGTGCAGCTATCTCGGGTCGACAGGATACAGAAATCCAGTTTATATGGTAGTGGCTTTTATCAAATGTCGTGCAAGACGTTTGGAGTGACTCATTCTCGAGTAGAGTTATGGCACTATCCAGTCTGTTGCGTATTAGTGCCATCATCTGGTAGTCATGGGCTATAGCACGTAGTGTAAATGTGACAGAGTATCGTTAAGGCGTTTTTGGAAAAGGGATAGGGTGGGAGCATTAATTACATGTTACGGGAGGGCGTTCCAAGGCTGTGCCACTCGAAGGGAGAAATAGTTTCGCCGACATTCCAGGCGGCTGTATTGCGTGACTAACTTAAACTGGTGACCTCTTAACGGTGTGCTTTGACTGAGTATCAGAAGGGAATGGCATGGGTGTTTGGGGTTTCTCAGGATCTGGTACACCATTATGAGATCGCCCCTTAGACGCCGATAACGTCCACTGTATATTTTGAGGGTCTTCAGCCTGAGTGGGTAGGGGAGGCTGGTCAAACCTTTGACACTCTTCGTTGCCCTACGTTGTGCCGTATCGAGCGCGATGAGATGGTGCTTGAGCCAGGGTTGCCACGCTTGGATAGCGTATTCCGCTTGCGGCCTCACATACGCACTAAGCATTTTTGGAAAGATCGGAGGGTCAAACTTCCCGAAAGCTCTGCGAAGAACGTCGAGGTATTGGTTTGCTTTCTTAGCTGCCTTTTCAGTCTGCCTCAAACAACCGAGGTCGGCTTGAACTATCACGCCGAGATCGCACTCGTGAGAAGCCCACTGTAGAATTTGTGGTCCTAGACGGTACTTGTGCATACTCTTCTACCGTATGCTGAGAAGTTTGCACTTGGTGAGGTTGAAATGCAGCATGTTCTCGATGGACCATGTGTACGTTTTGTCCAGGTCCTGCTGTAACACTGGATGATCTTCCACTGCAGCTACAGTGCGCCGTACCTTTATGTCATCGGCAAATAGCAAACAGTTAGAAGATAGCGCGCTTGCAAGATCATTTATGAAAACCAGGAACAGGCGGGGTCCAAGTACCGAGCCTTGAGGTACGCCGCACTAAACTTAGATGGATTCCGATAGGTTGCTTCGAACCCTCACATTCAGGTGACGTTGCACGAGATAGTCTCTTATGCAGTTCAAAACAGGATCGCCGATTCCATATTTCTGGAGTTTGTGGAGTAGAATGAGATGGTCTAGACGGTCGAATGTCTTTGACAAATCCAAGTAGGTCGCGTCGACTCCTATACCAGCATCCACAGATTCCGTCCAGCTTGCACGAGTAATCAACATATTAGTGATACAGGATCGATTTTTGCGAAACCAGTGATGCTCCGGAACGTGAATTTTGTTGTTCTCCAGGAACCCCATCAAATCTTCAGCTACAATGAACTCGATAACCCTGGAGATCACAGGAAGGAGTGTTATCGGGCGATAATTTGTTGGTTCAGCACGGCTGCCACTTTTGTAGATTGGTGTGATGACCCCGTGCTTCCACATCGTGGGGACGTGTATCTCTTTCAGACATCTTTGAATGAGCATTGCTAGTGGCGCCGCCAAACTCATGGCAGTAACTTTCAACGCCTTCGGGCGAATGCCGTCCGCACGAGGAGAGCTAAACTCGCGCAGAGACATCAGCCACTTCAGTACAGCTGCGGAGGTAAACGATATGGAATTAAACCCTGATGGCAACATATTTGCTTAGGCAGGATGTATGATGATTGCACGCTTCGGAAGGTACGGCCAAATTGTTGTCCAAGAAAGTTGGTCGCCTCTTGTGCGGTTTGGGCCAATCCGCATGCTGTCTGCGGAGCAGGAATACCGCGATTAACACGGCGCAAATTGTTTACTTGTCTGTATAGCAGTTTGGGATTGGAGCAAAATTTTTCTAATAGACCTTGTTGGTTCTTCAGTTTATCCTCCTGGATGAGTTTGACACTGTGATTCCTTTGTATTGTGTAGACATCCCAGGTATCGTCCTTCGGGGAGGCTATGGAGGTGTGCCATGCCAAGTTCCTTAATGCGATGCACTTACGTGTCCTGCTCCTTACGAAAGACTTCATCCTTTTAGGCCGGTAGAGTTTGGTTTCGGATGTCCTTGCCACGAGCTTGGTAAATATGTTGACGAATTCACCGCAGTCCACCTCGGGGGTTAATTCAGCTAAGAACGACTGGCTGGTTACATCAATGAGGTCAGACAGGTCTTCATAGTTGGTTACGACACGATTTTCTTAGGTATGCTCTTTAGGATAATCAGCGTAGCACATGTAATGAAACAATAGCGTCGCATGATCAAAGCGGCCCAAAGGAGTATCGGTTATTACTCTCTCGACCATTAATTCTTCATTGGTGAATATTCCGTCCAACATGGATGGACTGTCAATTCCCCTGAATCTGGTGGGCGTAGTGACTTGGCCATAAATAGGGTAGTCTGAAACCAGATCTTGCAGGTCTGCTTTGAATTGCTCTCCTGGTGTGGCCTGGGATTTGAGGGCATGTAAGTTGAAGTCACTGGTGACTAGAATGTGACTGTACTTCCTGTTTATCACTTGCCTCAACGCAGCCACCAAGTTGCAGTCCATCTCAGGACATGCGTCTTGCTGATGAAATTACATCAGATGAGATTATCGTTCAGTAATTGTGTGCCTGTGAGTGATTACCCAACTTTGTGTAGCTGCAGTGGACATACTGGCAAGCCCGTACTTCTATCTCAAAGCAGGCGGTATGTCCAAATAAGCAATTTGCCAAATGTAATATGTGTGGTCCTTAAAACAATTGATGCTTTTGATATTGGTAGAAGATTATCACATCTAGACTCAGTCAGACAGCCGTCAAACGCCTGGAAAAGCTGTGTACTGTCTTGTTAGTCTTTTCAGCAGTGCGCATTCCATCCGACCCCTGAGCCGCTCGGAGCCGCAACCCGACTGTTTTCAGTCTGTGGTTGAGACCATTGAACTACGAGAAACCGTCGTGACTGTTACTAGATGTACTATAACGCCGCTCACTATGACCCATGCAGCTGTGTAGCAGGCTGACTTCTAATGAAGACCGGATTTATACGGTCAGTAAGCTCAAGGTTTATCCCATTATACTAGTTGTATGCCACTGTGTCGGATTGACATGCTGGGTTTGAATGTGCTTATGCTATTCGCTGCATCTACCCCAGCACCGGTATGTACTGCAGCAATTTGCATGAGGCCACATAGTTAACAGCTCAATTATAGCCACAGGTTAGGATGTCACCCAATTAAGGTATTCATTCTTTAGTCACTTGAAGACGGCGATGAGCAGAATTAACTTATTAAATTTCCGTTTTGTTTTTTTGTTTCAGTGAATTAATATAACTTATCGTGAACAATCATCAGCGTTGAGTTGACAATACGTTTTACCCATGGAAGACAAACTCGCTAATCACCCTCAGCTCAGCTTCACAGTTACCTTGGCTGTGATAAGGATGTAAGCGATCATCGTGCACAGAAACAAAATCAAGCACTGTGGCCGGCTGTGTAGCACATCTTGCTTGTTTGACCTAGCTCATTGGTACATGCTGCTTATGAAAATGTTGCAACCCTTCGTCTGGATAAGTTGGAGAACTGATTCTCATTCAGAAACCAGTTGACAATACCATGTTATCTGTTTTGTCTATATGCTTGCCCCAACCTTTTTGGTGTTCTATAGTGCACGCACTTCTTCCACCTGTTATTGCGATGAAACAAAACTGATTTTATCATTGACGGTCATGTGATGAAGTCGACTTCGTTAAACCTAGCTGGACAAAATATTGTGAAAGCTGCTAGGATATCCTTCGACACTGGGGATTGGCACGCTGCCTGATTCCCAGAGAAGAAGTATGCTCTCGACCAATGAGGACCCTCGCCACCCTCTACCAGCGTACGCAGCTCACGTCAAGTTGAGATGTCGGGCGTAATGCACGCGGTTGGTCAGTTGACTCGCCGGTCACATAGATCGAACTCACTCGCCTCACACATGTCTCTATAATAATGTCACAGTCAACAGCCGAAAGGACTGGGTGTTTCCCACACCCAGCGACTCACCGACCACTGCTGGTACGTGAGGCAGCCGTAGATTGGGGGAGGGGGTGGTGGATTGCCCATGAGTTCGTCCTGTTCTCTATCCTAATGGACATTAGGGACATTGTGACACAGCAGGCATGGTGGAGCAAGCGTAATACAAAAGTGAAGTTTCGCCTCAGCACGCTGATAGGCCAAAGCAACGAGTAGTGTAAAAATGGGTTTTCAATTACATTCATTCCATGGGATATCACATGGTTAATAGATCCTACATTTTATGGCCACGTGTGGTACATGGCGGCGGATGTTCATTCACCAACTGTTCTTGTCCGTGACTGCAGAATCAGTGACTACACCATATCTCAGGAAGGTAATATGCCAGCCATTTTCTTCGGTAATTCAGGATCAACATCATGCGCAGTTAGGTCGGTGGAAAGCTGTTCCACTTCACCTGATTCACAAGATTTCGCGCCCCACACAATAGAATTTCAACGGAAAGTGGGGCATCCATCACATTTATTCAGCTTTCCAATGAATACGACAAATCAGAATTCAGGACCCTATTGTGAATCCATATATCTTCCCAAATGTTGCACCGAACTCTGTACAGAAACGTTGACTTGCCAGGATGCTACGCGAGCTACGTTATTCAGACCAAACAGACTGTCATCGGTGGTCACATCACAAATACCGTTTAACGCTTATGGAACTCCAGGTCTGGAAACAAGTGGAGAGCTGAATGAATATAGCAGATCGGAGATGTATTGGCGGTTTGCTGAACGTCATAAGCAGTACGATCGATCCGTTAAGGAGGACATTTCCGAGCATTCGCACCGCAGTGACAGCCCAATGGCTGGTTCGGAACTGACGGAGAACCAGGAAAGTAAGTGTACCGAATGTTGTACCCCGTCTTCTTCACTGCTGCAACAAAGCATATTCTTTTACGAGCAAACTTTTAGGTTCCTTCACCAAAGGTGTGTGGCATCGATTGGGCAATTGGGCTTATACCGTGAAACCAAAATATCGGTTACTATTGTTTACATATGTTGTGTTGATAAACCGTACAACTGCCACGCAAATGATGGATGAATTCCTTCTCCTACCATGAGCTGTCAGAGGGGCTGGTGCTCAGCCGATGCTGTCCAACAGATAGCGATTTTTGAGCAGGGTCATCCAATATTCAAATAGCTTTGCTTCCTTATGGGAAGCTAAATTTCCTCCGAGTAATAAATTTCACGCGCAGTATGGTGGAGATCAATGATTTGCTTCTGAGAGTAAGTAGAATCCTCGAGCATCCACATACAAACTGCCCAACTGGTTCAATATCTGCTACCCGTGAATTTTTCTGATTACCTCAAGGGAATGTTCGTGTCATAAAATTTAGTGAGTCATTTTGATAAAGTTAGTCGTTTAAACTGACCATTTGGTCACTAGGTGCTAGTTTCCGTTATGGTGTTACAATGCGTATTGTTCAAGTCAGCCTGATTAAGGTGACATACTTAGATTTGGGAAACTAATCCCCCCTCAGTTGAATTCTGCAAACCAACACGCGACCAGTTTTATTTACCGTTCTTTTGCCTGGTAAACAACTCCCCTATCGGTAGTGTTGTGTTTCACTGGGTTGCACAACAGCCCGGCGAAGAAGCATTTGGAGCAAAATTGCATACAGCAGCAAAATGTCCGACTATCTGCAGAATAATCCGCACAATTAATATTAGCTTTTCTTGTAAACAGTGAAATTTCTAGGCTGACAAGCGGATGGGAAGGGTATTTGGCGTTAACGCACTGGACAAAAGCTCAGTGGAAAATGATAACCAGAAAGAATGAGACTAGAATTCTTGTGCGAGCCTATTGAGCGGATGATATAAAATGCATACATGAGTGCGCACCTGTGGCGTCATACATCAGTGTACATAATCATGCACTCAGGAATACGTCCTGTACAATAATTTGTGCAGGTTGGGCGGTTGGCATAATTTTTCTCTAACCGTTCTCTTCGCAGTTTACGGTACCAGTGTGGACACTGGTCATGAATGTGGACTTGAATCGGTGTCGCATTACCCCGCTTCAAGCACCTGTCAAAGCTCTTCTTTTTCAATGCACAGTTCCTGGCCCCCTTCGCTTAGCTGCTCGTCAGCAGAGACCGCAAGTCATGCTATTCGTGCGCAGTTATTCCAGGAAACCGACCCGGGTATACCGTCGGGTCGTCATATCCTCCCCTTCTCCGGTCCTGAAACCTTTGCATCCCTCAGGTTGGGCAATGCAAACATAGTCGGCAGTCATGGCCAGGAAACTAGTCTTGATGACCATGAGGTACGTCATGTAAATTGTGAAACAGGTATTCGTCATTACCTTTCACCTCACTGTTCATTCACTTAATCGCTCTGTCTCAGCGCGCACTTATTAGCTTACCTGTTAGCACTTTATTATTTACAATGGACAAACGTGTAGTGCTTGTGAGTTTTAAATGTTTAAGTACATCCATACTTAGCTTGTGTCGTTAGTTATTGACAAAAGATTATAACTTGGTATATCCAGTGTGCTTGGAAATACTGAAGCAGGACAAGATGTATCTGGTGCCCCCACCCTTGGCTACACAACGCAGGCGACAGTATAACATCTCCGTGTTGTATAGTACCTTATTTAACTATTTTGAGGATTATTTCTAAGCTAGGTTACCAAATAGTTTTGTGCATTTTGCTAACGGGCCACTTGCCCGATAGGCTGTGATCATGACCTAAGTTGTCTGTTGATGGAATGTATTGCTACTGTGTCCAGTTTCGCAGTCTCAGACACACATTACAGAAGCGAATGACCACGACGTCCTTTGAATGCAGCGTACTTGTGTTCACCACCTCCATACTGCGAGGAGTCCAAGAAGCTGTTCAGATCCCCTGTACAGAGATTGAAGCCTCTCAGTTGCGATGGATGGCGTCACCCGGTTTGCTAATTAGCTAGCCTCCATTGTCGAACCAGAAACACAGTGGGCTTCAGGTGGTTCTTCCACTACTAATGTATGTGTGTTAACTAATGGTGTGGAGTACATTACTGCAAAATCCGCCAAGTGTCTACATGCCGCCCAGAGTTATTTCGGATTTGTGACGCTACCTGACCGATTGAAGTAGCGGCTAACTCATCGAGGCTGAATGCATGTCACATACAGTCCACCGGTTGGACATTTTCACACTGACGAGATACACATTTAGCTAGTTACTTTATCCGCAATTGGTCTGTAGTCTTTCAGCTGATAACGTGGCCAGTGAATAAACACAGTATGCTAAATGCTGACGTCACTAGCTTCTAAAACTGTACTCTGTAACCTTTGTCGCCTCTGGTGGGACCCTTTGGGTGAAGAGGGCAATGCACATAAGGTATCTACCTCACATAGTGACACGGTGAAGGAACTGATGGGGAGTAGTTCAGAGTAAATCGTATTTTCTATTGAGACGGCTTGTCGTAACCTAGGTACAGAATGGGCACTCCGCCGCAAACTAACAGCGCAAACACTACACTTTCAGTACCACGATGTAATGTTGTATAAGCCCGTTGAATTGAAGTGCACTCACGTATGTCTGATCTTATTTATGTTCTGCAAGTTTTCTGAGGCCTTTCAACTCACATCAAGTCAATAAGCTTTGTGAACTCGAGAGGTTTCCTTTACACCGTTTATACTATGGCTATGGATGTACTGAAACGTGGTATCAAGTAAAAGAGGAGAACTAGTAGGCATGATGAAACCTACACGTAACTGTTTCGCCAACAGTCTTTTGTTCAACTTACCTATAGCTTTCGTTGGGTTGACAAGTAAACTCTACAAAAGCGACTAAGTTGAGACACGACGAGATGCGAGAAAAAAAGTAAAAATTTTATCAGAGAAATGGGTATCGTTTGTGAATTGCTTCTCTGCAGTAGACGAAAATAGTCATAATGAAGCTTTTAAGAAAACGTTTCACAGGCGTCACAATCTCAAGAAATAAGCAACTAAATTAAGGAAGCTCCATACAAGCCTCAAAAGAGTGTACTCCCGCTGAGGCAATCTAGAATCGATGGTAGGAAAGAATTAACGACCAATGGCAGAGGAGGCATATTAGTCCCAAGTTTACGTACGGTCCAACGTGCCATGGTGACCAGTGAAAAGTATCCCCAACAATTTTCCCCTATTTTCCCATTGGTCTTAACCTGTCTATGGCGTTCACCAGTCTAACGCAATCGCGGCCACGCTTTTTGATCCTCAGGCGTTCTAGGACTTGCTCAAGGTGAACCCCACTAGCACGAATGGCCGAGATTGCGAGTAGAGGTGTGATGAAAGTCTGTCACCGTATCACACATATGGCTTAGATTACGTTCCAATGTGTAACAATTTACCCCAGAAACCACACCATATGCCATCCCCTGGATATCATCCTATGTAAATAACGCATGTATCCCGCTGTGGGCTGTGCAGTGAACCAATTAGATAGAGCCAAGTTGCCCAACATAAGAGCCGTGAGACTCCCTCGCGCACTCTGGGTTTTGTGATACTGTTGTACAGTCGCAATTACCGTGACTATCACTTTCTCTGTGTATTTGTTTACTGTGTAACCAATCAGTCGTCAGCACTGAGCAGGTACTGTTGAGCTACGTCCTTATTAAATATTCATGTTCGCTTATATATATATATATATAGTTATTTTTGAAGGTTCTTACGAAGGACAAAACGGTTAGTTCCGAAACAGCAAAGCCAGAGGCAATAACACTTGAAGAAAGTATTCCAGTGATTCGACAAAGTCAAGAAGGAAAAAGTCGCGAATATTGGCGGAAAATTTCGGAATAGGAAAGACACAAATCCTTCTAACTTTAAAGAGGAAAACCGAGTTTTTAAATGATTTTGAGAACAAGGCACCAAGACTGAGAAGGAAGAATAGTAGCAAAACGGGTACCGAAGACATAAACGCACTTTGCTGGAAATGGTGCCAGTCAGTACTGGCGAGAAAAATCCCATTATCTGGACTTGTAATTCATGAACGGGCATTGCACTTCGCAAAAGAATTGCAAAACCCAGACTTTGAAGTGTCAAACGGTTGGCTACAGGCTTTCATCACTAAACGCTCTTGTGTTTGGTTCCTGATTGTTCCTGATGGTTATGGAAGCAATAGCCGCAGGGGCGCTCATCGGAATACCTTGAGAGCAATAACATCATAATGTCACAGCAACATGGATTCCACTGAAATCGGTCCGACATGATAAGTTGGACGAAGTCAGCTGATGCCAGACAAGGAGTTGACCTTGTAGACCAGGGCTTCTCTAAAGCATTTGCTCGCCTGGACCACTGCATTCTTCTTCACAAACTTCAAGGTTATGAAATCGGTGACCCCGTACCAGGTGGATAAGCAACTTCCTCATTCAGCTGAATGTGAGTCCGCAGATCCATCTCCGGCCCATTTGAAGTTCGGTACTGGGACCACGTCTGTTATTGATATTAATCACTGATCTCGTTAGCGTGCTCCATTCAGACTACTTGTTATTTACAGACGACCTCAAGATCTGGCATAAGATCGAAACCGTGGGCAACCAGGCGGTAGTACAAAAGGATCTCCCCAGGGCCTACACATAGTCCTCGGGAAACCGGCTCCAGTTTAACCTGGTGAAAAGCGAAGTTCTGAACATCCGCCGTCAGTATACTCACGAATATCGACTGGGAGAGCAGCTGTTGCAACCTGCAACGTAGGAAATCGACCCAGGAATATTCGCATAGAACCACCTTGGTTGCTCGAAACAGGCTAAGAAAACATCGAGAAGAGCCAGTGAGCACCTTGGTCTCTCATGAGGGACGTTCGGGAAGTTCGAGCCAACAATCTTTCTGTAAATGCTAAACGCTTACGTGATGCCTCACGTGGAATACGCGATTCAGGCCTGGCGACAGCGCAAAAACGTTGTTGCTGCGCTCGAAGCTCCACAATGTAGGTCGGCGGAACTGTTTCACCTCTACTACCAACGCAGACTGCAAGCTGTAGGCTTGTACAGCGGCGAATACCGACGCTTGCGTGGAGACCTTATTATGGTGTACGAAATACTGGCTAACCCCAAGCACGCCTGTCGCGACCTGTCTCAAATCAGTGACATTACCAACGTGACAAGCCACCAACTCAAACTGTCCACGCACCATCGTCAACCTGTTTGCCGACAAAATGTTTGCTCCCTCCGGGTATTCAGACCGTGGAAGGCTCTTCTTTCTCACGTTATGTTGGCCACCACTTTAACGCTTTTAAAAATGCGATCGAACTATAGTTTATCCCATTCACATTGTGTGCCAGTCTGTTTCAACTGCAATTCGTATTAACCCAAACTGTGTGCTCACCAGCCCTCTCCTTTACGTTGTGGTGAGCAAACCAGCGGATGTTCATGTGAGTAACCCGGTGAGTCACTTCAAGTCAGCATTTTCCCCTTTTTTTCTGTCACCTTAAAGGATCATTTTCTACTCTCCATTCCGGTCATCCTACGGCACTTGTCATGCAGTGCCTTTGTCCGTTATAAATCATTGTTCATTGTACATCAATTTGTTGATGAGCTTACAAAGTACATAGACCTGATTCGCTCCATAGCGGTTGACTTTATCTGATAAGCATCAATTCCCCTACGGGTATTAGCGGACAAGCATGTCCACACTTGGTTAATTTCAGTGGAGAGCATAATGGATGCATTATCCTGTGTCCAAATGCATCAGTTGGAGACTTTCATGTTACGAAAACGGAGGCTGTGAACTCGTTTTACGTCATTCTGTTAGCCGACAAAGTTCAGGCAAACTGCGACAAATTCAAGCCCTACTTATATGTTGTCCCCTCACACACAAGTAAATACCGGTTTATGTGAGGAAGAAATCTGATGCTAAGTAATCCTATGTTGACTCTACCTCGCGTGAACTGCTTAAGAGCCGGACCATATTTTAAGTACTAAAATATCTCCATCCCTGGCATGTACTTTTCGACATTACCGAGAGATTCGAACTGTTTGTCGGCAGTATATGCGGGCTGCTCAACTATATCATTCGAACTAAAGAAGTTCGTTACTTATACAAAAGTGGAAAAACCACCATGCGTCCATTCCGGCGTTTTCTGGTACAGAACACTACTCCTCTTACGAATCGACGCATGGCTTCACTTCTCAGGAAATAGTATGCGAATTTGCGTAGCAACGACGCAAGGCCTAGACTAATTACATCGTAGAAAAGGTCAATGAAATCTGTGGACTAGTAAACCTATACTCCACGTACGGTCTGGGTAGAAGGAATAAGAAGCAAATTCCTGTAACCGTGGTTATACAATGCACAGTAAAGA